CTAGGTCGGGTTCTCAATTGGGTTTCAGGTCTTTGCTTCTACTTCCGGTCATTAATAGATTAACTAAGAAAAAGAAGAATCATAAGGGAAGAAGATGGGTATTTTTAGAGGGTGAGGAGAGGAACTCTGATGAGGAGAAATTTTTGTGTTGTGGGTTATCTCCACTTTGATCCTTCCTAGGTGAGGGGTGGAGAGGGCCTCCAGGATTTCAATTTCGTTATGTTTTATTAAAGGGCTTTTCTCCTTTTCTAGTAATTGATATACTGTGTGTAGCACACAAGTTTGATTAGTTTAATTAATTAATATTTGCATTGAATAAATTGTATTAATGATTTAGGGTAGATAATTAGCTGAATAAAATTTATAATCTGTTTTTGTACAAGAGTATTTTAGTAATCAAATTCCTTTTGATTCCAATTCATCAAGTTAATTAGTAAACATTTAATATGGAATCTTCATCATTTTCACTCCAATTCCAGCCAGTTTAATAAACATCTTTAACAATAATCTGATTCTGATAACAACCTATTCCAACTCGTCCTCGTCAATTTTCCCTAATGTAATTACAAATTAGTAAACAAGCCATAATTGTACTTATAATGATAGTTGTAATGATGATTGTGATCATTGGCGGCCTTCTCTATTACATTTGGGCTTGCTAAAGAAGGGGAAGGCAAGGTATAAATTTCAATGCAACCGTCATTGTGCAAAAGATCAATCAATCGAGTTGATATGAAAAAAGTAATCATAATTATGGGATGATAATGACAATGGGGAAAAGGCAATAACCATTGTCATAATTCCATGGTAATGACTAATGAAGGTCAAATGATCACGAACACCTTCACTAAGATATAATATTCATCAAACGGTTTTGTATTCCATGAAAATAACACATGATGACAATTCTATATTTTCTTACACAAGAAATCTTAAAAACAAAAAACAAAAAACAAAAAAAAAAAAAAAAAAAAAACAAAATGGTAAACAATCCATGCTTGCAAAATTGCAAACAATTGACTCTAAAATGTGACAAAGGTCGTTCTAAAATGTCACACTGTCGCATTTGTGACTAAATGCAACGATTTGTTAATATATTTCACATTTAGTGGTATATGAAAACAACCTTGATTGGAATAGCAAGATAAATGGTTTCATCTGTTAAGGAATTTTTGGACGGCCGCGATCGAGTTTTTAATTAATCCTATAAATAACCAAAAACGACACAATCAGAATGCCAATTCTGGTAACTGTAGTAGTTCTGCAAAAAGTCTTCTGCTTTTAAACGGGGACAAGGATCCTCACCGGATCCTCTTAGTGAAGATTCAGGGATCAATCAACCATGTCTGTTTATTGTACATTGTATGATCAATTTTCATTAGATATTATTTATATTTAATTTAAAACTTAAAATGATTTCTAATCATACGATTATAATGAATGGACACGATTGATTGATCATTCGAATTCTACCCAAGAGAATCCGGAGAGGATCCTATTCCTTTTAACATCACTACTATTTACTAATTTATTACTTTTAAGATGCTACCCAATTAGGGTTTTTATATATAATAGAATTTCTAGAATTTGGTGAAATCAAATGGGAATCAATTTTTCTCAAACCCTAGTCAAAACGAATCAATTTTTGGAGTGAATGACGTCTTTTTTCTTTTTTTTTTTTGTATGTCAATCCTTCTTAGGGCTATGTATGATGTAATATGCCGGTTTGGACTTTATTTTATAAATGTTCGGTACCTTCTAACAAAAAAAAAATCAAAACCAATTATTATTATTAACATTTAACCTTGAACAATTAACTAACAATCATTAACCTAAGATTCATTCGGCTTGTGGACAAAACTAAAACTAAATTGGAGTTTAATTAAGTCGAACTTGCTGCTTCGATCTCGTTTTCTACCCTATTTTTCTTTTGTAGCTAGCTGCAGTTTTGCAAAGCACTTACACACCATATTGTCCCTACAACAATAATTCCACACACCATGCTCACCAATCAATTGCCCAAAAAGGTCCCAAACAATAACTAAAAGGTTCTTCTCTTTTCTTTCTTTTTTTTTTATTTTTATTTTTTATAATTTTACAAAAATTCTACTATGCTCCGGTCTATCTCAAATATCCATATATTTCGCTGTTAAATCTTGGTTATTGATTTTTTTTATCAAGAATCAAACCGTCAAAATCTCAAATGTATGAACATGGTAGAGAATCGAATCTCATAACTTCAATTATTTTGTTGAGTCCTTGGATCCTGCACAGTTTGAGCTTCATCATGGTCACATCACAAACTCTAACCCTGTTAAAAAAGCTGCATAACAAAAAGTGGCATCTAGTGCCCTTTAACTATTGGCTAGCTAGGATGGTCCATGCAGAAAAAACATTGTATCGTATTTACCAAGTACCTTACCTCACCCTGCAGTGCATTGCAAGGACCACACATATACCTAGCTCACATCCATATAGTTACAAGTTTCAAGAACCCAGCTCAAACAAACTGTACATCCAGCACAGCGAGCCTACACCACAGAGTTATTTACACAGATCAGCACCCGTCTTTTGTGGGTGTCCAGACCAAAAAAATTGACCTTGAAAAATAATTATACGACCCTTAAAAAGTAGGGTTTGCAGAGTTTTGGTTTTTTGGGAGGGAAGAGTGGGAGAGGACAGATTGACATAAGCTGATATGCAAGCATTTGAGCCATTAACATATAAAATCTGGGTGAAAGTTACGTAAGCCTGATTGTTAAGCATTTAAAACTGCTACTACTTCCAGTGTGGCAGCGGAGAGACCAGAAAAGTCCAGAGATTCATCAGGGAAAGATATAATTTTTAGGGGACTGCAGATTGCTAGGGTACGCAGGGTGCGCAGTGTGCACATAGGGTGAGGTCAGCGTGGTGTAGGTGTAGTGTAAATGTGGAAGGAGGAGGAGGAGGAAGAAGGAGGAGAGAGATGGATAATACGGTAGGCGGCGGAGGCTTCCTTTAGAGGACAGACCACCTCCTTTTAACAGACCACCCTATTAAAATTGCTTCTCACTCTCATATTTTCTCTGCGTGTGCCTCACATTATGTATATACACACTCAAACACACATGTATAATATTAAATTGCATACAAAAGCATATAAATACAATCCAATCAGTACTTATTTTAGTTTTCTAAATCTCGGTTGAAAGAAATTAAATGTGTTTTGAAATGTCTAATTTGTGGGATATATGTAGTGTTAAGGCTTAAGGAGCAAGTAATGACATATAAGTTTACTTTCATCTTCTGAGTTCACATATACACACACATACACATACACATACACAGAGAGTAATTTATATTATATTAGAAATTTTCTCATCCGAACTTTAATGTCTGGACTTAATCCAGATGTGCCTTCAGTCACCCAACTCTATGCATGGCTGGTTGACAACGTGTTATATTTCACGGTGCCAATCGCACCTCGCCTCACGCCCATTTCCCTCAATTTTTGCTTCATTTTTTTGTTTAATCCTCGTCATGGCTTCTTGTTTTATTCTATAGAAAAATCTTTACAAGTCAAAAGCTACCATTTTTTTTCTTTTTGGAAAATGAGAAACGTGTTTGGAAATCCATATTATAAAGTTAATTTTCAGACAATTGTTTGATGACAATCCAATTTAATGGTCTTTTAGTTTTGATGGTATGGAAATGCAAATGCATAAATTTTTAAACATGGCTTTAAAATTCAGGCACTGGAAATTATTTCTGAAAAAGGATTTTGAAAGATCAGTCTTACATCATGTGTATTGTCCAAGGTAAGATAAAGGTTTATTAGGCTCTCGAAATCAAATTAGGACAATCGTTTGTCCTATAAGGCTATAAGATATCCATATCAATGTTCTATACAATGATTTGGCATTTCAACAAGTTTTAGCTACATTCATTATGTGCATCGACCAAATATACACGATCTGTTTAAGCGCGCGCATTCAACTTTATTCACGAAACATACATAATCAATCATGTGATGAGTACCCCAAATGTGTTACAAATCATTGTAATTTGATTTTAAAACAACTTATAAACATAAAATCTCCCAAATATGGTTCCCCATGCATGGTAACCTTGCAATTTCAAGTCATTAACTCCCTTAAAAACACTTGTGGCTGAGAAATTGGGGTGATAGGGTTGTGGAAAAGCAATGACATCCCATTGGTTGCGCGTGGAGAAAAAAAAGAAAAGATGCACTGCGGTCCCATGCAAATGTGTTATGCGTCCTTCTTCATAGAGAGAGAGATGGGTGGACTAGTTTATTACACCAATTAATGAGAATTAGATGGGGAAAACGTTGGGATTGGACCACCTCATCATCTCATCCCATAGAGTCCCTAATTTTGGGAACATTTTTCACAACTCTGGGCTCATCTATTCTCTCTTTCTTTCAACTGTGAAGAAACTCCCGGAATTTTTTGGTCCATGAAAAAACAGTACACCTACTCAGAAGAGAAAAAGGAAAGGCCGAAAAGGGTCCTACCATTTTTACCGTCGTCCAATTACAATGGCCCTTATTTTGGCTCACTGAAACCCCATCTGAAAAAGCCTGGAACAGGAATCACTTCTTGGGATTCGATCCCCTAATCAACAGTTTTTTTTTTTTTTTTCGTTTTCCTTTTGATCATAAAATATCACGTCATTTTTCCATTGGGATTTTGGGCTTCTGAGTATTGATGTAGAAATCATTCTATTATGTATCAGTGTATATTTTGTGTACTTAAAGAAGTAGAGTAAATCCATCGAAACAGCAGAATTAGTGCTAGTACCTTGCAGGGTAGGTTGGGTTTAAATTATTTTTAATTAAAGTTTTAACTATTTAATTAATTTGATTGGCTGAACAATAATTTAATATTTGTTGGGTATGAAATAATTGAGGAGGAGGGGTGGGGGAAAGGTTATTAGAGAATTCTCATTCTAGGAAGTCTATTTTGGAGGTATTTATATCATGCTGCATTGACCCCCACTTGATGGAGAGAGAGAGGGAGAGAGAGAGAGAGAGAGAGATGATGGAAAGGAAATGAAATGATGAACATGGTTAGGAGGTCATCATCAAGCCCTATCTGATCATATCATCATCTTCTTCTATTTCTGATCGATCGAGGAGATATATATATATATATATATATATATATATATATTTTTTTTTTTTTTTGGATCTCTCTTTCTTTCTTCCTAGGTTGTTCTTTCATGGCTTACTTTGTTGGCTTATTAGGAGAAGTCTCCTAAAAAGCAAAAGGACCTCCACACTTCTCCCTCCTCCCCCTCCTCCTCCTTCCTCTCCTCCTCCACCATCCATTATAAACCTCCACCACTTCTCTTCAACAACTTAATCTGTAAGCCCCCCTCTCTTACCTTCATCCGATCAAAGAGATTCCTTTTATATGTTCCTTTCTCATAAATTCTGATGATTGATCTTGAAATAGACTGATCATATACTTCTCCTTCTGTTCTAATGGGAACCTAATGATTAATTATCTCTTTTCTTTTCTGTGGCAAGGGATCTTGATGGAATAGTAATTGCAGAGAAAAAAAGAGGGTATCTTTCACCCAAAAAAAACCAGTAAAAGCAGAGAGAGAAAGAGCAAGAAAGGAGAAGAAAAGTTCGTAGCTTTTGTTTTCATGGCAGGAGAACTGCTGAGTAGTGAAGCTAACAAGTCAAGGAACAACATGGCTTCTTCCTCAGTTGGTGGATTCTGCTACTCTTATGATGTCTCATCCAGCAATCCTACAACCACCCACTTCACCACCAATCAGATCCAAGACTTTGGGTCAAACCCTGCTGAGATCTTCAACCTCACCACTGGCATGGAGATGATAGGGTTCCCCAAGCAGCAAAATGACACTTCTAACCCTTCAGCTTCATCCATCTGGAATAAAGCTCGCTTCTTTGGTAAACAACAACAACAGCAACCTGATTTCACAACTGGGGTTTCAGAAACCAGCACTGATCATCATCATCAGAACAATCTATTGGTGGGAGGACCTCCACATCATCATCATCAACAATCCAATGGTTGGCAAGAGAATAATAATAATAATAACAGGTTTCCGGTGGATGATTCTTCTTTGAGGTGTGTTTTTCCATGCGAAGGAAATGAGAGGCCAAGTCAAGGCCTTTCACTCTCTCTCAGCTCAAACAATCCTTCCTCTATTGGGTTGCAGTCCTTTGAACTCAAACAGACCAGTCATCATCAGCCACCTCAGCATCAAGACCATCAGGATGATGGTGAGGACGATCACATGAGGTTTATGCAAGATGGGTTTTTGGGAAAAGCTGCTTATCATGCTTCTGCTTCTGGGGCAAGCAGTCTTCAACATGAAGGACTGTTCCAGCTGAGGAACTCAAAGTACTTGGGCCCTGCCCAGCAGCTTCTCAATGAGTTCTGCAGCCTTGGAACAACAAAGCCAACGACTGCTGATACACAAAAGCAAAAGCCCCATAAAAACAAACAGTGGGGTGAACAAGAGGACAATGGTAGTACTAGCTCTTCAAGAAACAAGCAACAATCCAACATTTGCTCCCTTGAATTTGTGGAGTTGCAGAAGCGAAAAACCAGACTGCTTTCAATGCTTGAAGAGGTAAATAATAGTAAACCCCATCTTTTATTTATTTTTTATTTTTTATAATTCCTCAATAGTATTAGAAGGCAAAGTTAAAAACTTTTTACTCGGGTTGTGCTTGATTAATCTTTTCAATTAATACCCAATTCAAATTTTTAGATTTTTATTGTTATCAAGGTTAAAATTTGAGACTCTCTCTGAAACCTATCTCTGGTTCTTTAATTATTATCGTGATCATATGTGTGTTTGTTTTAGGTGGAGAGGAGGTACAAGCACTACTGCGATCAAATGAAGGCGGTGGTGGCGTCGTTTGAGGCTGTGGCAGGAGCTGGGGCTGCCACCGTGTACTCCGCCTTAGCGGCGAAGGCCATGTCGAGGCATTTCAGGAGCTTGAAAGATGGGATTGTGAGTCAAATTCAGGCCACAAGAAAGGCCATGGGAGAGAAGGACCCGGTGGCGCCTGGCACGACGAGAGGGGAGACTCCGAGGCTTCGGATTCTCGATCAAACACTTCGACAGCAGAGAGCATTTCAGCAGATGAACATGATGGAAAGCCATCCATGGAGACCCCAACGTGGCCTCCCTGAGAGATCAGTCTCCGTTCTACGAGCTTGGCTCTTTGAACACTTTCTTCATCCGTACGTCTCTCTCTCTCTCTCTCTCTCTCATAGAAGTAAACAACAAATTAGATTTTTGGGGAGAATCAATGTAATAAGAGAAGAAAGGAAAAGAGAAAAAAAAAAACAAACAGTTTGCTGATGTTAGTGATGATTTTCTACTGGCTAACTAATCATCAATAAGGCACGAGTTTTATGATCATCAAATCATATCTTGTGTGGCCTCAATCATTTTTGCTAGACATTGAAAATACAATACAAACTCCTTGGTTGTTTCTATCCACCTCCTTTCAGATTCCAAAAAAAAATTATTTATTTTTGTTTCATTTTACTTTCAATCATGTCATTAGTTTTCTTTTGCTTGATATTTTTCCTTGGCCCCAAGCTCTCTCTATTGTATATTCTATTGTGGTCACTTGGTCTCTTATTCGATATTTTCTAATATGCTCTAGAGTATCTTATACGTCAAGGTTTTTTACCGTTCGATCTTTAATCAAAAGAAAGAATGACAAAAATGAAACGACCAATAACTCAAAGTATTCACGATAGAATTTTCACTCATTCTACTTCTCAGGGAAAAAAAACCCTCTCTCTCAAGAAATAACAGTAATATATTTATTTGTGTATTTAATTACAAAAAACTGCAAATAAAGAAAGTAACAGAGTGTTTGTGTGGAACTTGTTGCAGGTACCCGAGCGATGTCGATAAACATATCTTAGCCCGCCAAACGGGTCTCTCAAGAAGCCAGGCACGTCCACATCCTTCTCTTTCTCAATCCCTCCCATAATATAATTCAAATTTCCCCACCACTTATTTAATATTTATTATTATGGGGCATATCTTCTTAGGATCCATAGTTTAGTTGAATAATATATTTGTACATGATGTTATAGCATATAATAATGTATATTGTAATCCAAAATCTATGTCACCATTAATCATATTATATATGTGACGCCTTTTGTTGCCACATGGATGTGTTTCAACAGGTCTCCAATTGGTTCATTAACGCAAGAGTTAGGCTTTGGAAGCCAATGGTCGAAGAAATGTACATGGAAGAAACAAAGGAACGTGAAAACAACATGAACATTAGCAACATGACCTCCTCAGATGGTATTGCAACCGATCCCAGCCCGCATCAGTCCCGGCCCGAAGATGAAAAGCCAACTCACGATCAACTCGTCCGAATGGACTCCGAGTGCCTCTCCTCCATCATCACCTACCCGGAGAAGAATCATGACTCTAGAGGCAGCAAGAATACCATCTCAAGTCACAACATGCACCCGCATCAAAATTTTGGGAGGGTAAATGAGTCATTCGGGACAATGGAGCTGGATTTTTCGTCGTATAATCATCATCAACAACACTCTGGAGGGACGGTTTCTTATGCTAATGATCATCATCACCCCTCAAATCAGGGTTTCAATGCCGGTGGCGGTGTGTCGTTGACATTAGGGTTGCAGCAGCACGGCGGAAATGGGGTGAGCTTAGCATTCTCTCCTGCCTCACAGAACTCTCTATTTTACCCTAGAGATCACATTGAAGAATGCCAACCGGTTCAGTACTCGCTATTAGATGGGGAAGGTGAGAATAATTTGCCTTACAGAAATTTGATGGGGGCACAGCTGCTACATGACTTGGCAGGATAGAAGACAACAACAACAACATTTCTCAATCGGGTAGTGCAAGGGGTTCACTAGTGGGGTTTTAATTTGATTTTGTGCCACAGGGATGGTGATGAATTGGTGATTATTGGTAATAGATAATTAAGTAGTTTAATTAGGTAATAATAGATGAATATATATAGCTACATACTTCATGCATACATAAAAGGCTATACTGGGTTAGACAACAATTATATGGTGCTCATCGTCTTCATGGCTGGCCGGTATAGCTTTTCTCGGCCCTCTGTTTTTTTAGAAAAAAATTGGAAGGACATGTTCATTATTGTTAGGCTAATTTGGAATTGCCAGTGATTTGGCTCAAAGGTTATACGATATATTGTTTTCTTTTTGTTATTACAAGCGATATTACTACTCTAAGCTAAACTAGGAAAAGATGAAGAGTTTAAACCCAAAACACAGTAAATTGAAGAGAAAGATACCCTATTTATTAGGACAATCCATGAATTGCAAGATTATACGATTTTTGTTTCCTCTTATAGGTAGATTCTGCTTTTCCAAAGATTTAACCGAAGCGGTTAGAAATCTCTCTTTAATTGCATTTCTCCATTATTTGTGGTTGGGCTAATTAAGCTAGGTGATGATTGAACCGTTTGTGGCTCTTGTTTAAGTGAATACTTTTGCTTTTATCAGTTTATGTGGTTCTCTGTAGAGGCAATTAAGTTTAGCAGCACAATTGGTGTTGGGTCCTTATATAGTTTTTGTTGGAGATTAAGACAAATCCTCGAGGAAATTACAAAAAATATCGTGATCGGTTTTTTGTGTGTAGTTGTGGTCCCTAATCCATGAGGCTCGTGAAAAGATGATATTTTTCATACCAATAAGAATTGGTCTTCTTTTTTTTATTTGTGAACTTGAATTGGGGATTGGTTCTATAAGCTTCTGCTTTTGTAAATGAAAAAAGGTGCTTTTATTAGCTGCTTTTTAGATAGTGTGAAGGGCATTAGGGTTTTGGGATGCACCTACCCTTGGTTGAACACGTACGTGCACACCAATGAAATTCATCAGTTATGGATTAAACCAGTGCTCTATATTGCATGCAGACCCAATGGCCAAATTAGTTCTATGTAAAAATGGATGCTGATGAGTTCCATGCATAAAATATTAAAGATTTCTCACCAAACTATTGTGTAACAAATCAGATATATATTATGTAAAACTCTTATGTTCTTCAACAATTAAATCATACAAAACAAAACATTTAGAAGGAAAGGGCTAATCAAGGAAAGGTAGTATGTATGCGATTCAACAATTAAATCATATAATATAGGTGAAATTAAGGTATACAACTATGCTTGATTATATTGTTGACATGCAACTAAACAAATTAATCATGAGCATGTGATCATGGGTTAAGTTTGTGAAGTTCCCTGGCTATTCTTTTGAGGCGATGGCCCCCAATTGAGTTAATTCTATGCTTTCTTATAGTTAATAGAGCAGAAAAGATCATGTTATAAAAATGTTTTACATTTATCATTTGATATATAGTGCTGTCAAAGGATGCATATAAATGCATGCATGATACTTAAGTCCATGGGGTTTAAGAAGCTTACTTTACCCCTATGAACGTGCTAACATATATAAAAACTCAAGATTTAGGTATTATATCTAGAGGAAAAACCTTGAGTCGAACAATCGTCTTGTTCTTACAACTATCCTGAGCGAGGAACCACGAACACACACGAAATTGGGTTTTAATTTGTGTGCAGGTTTGGGACGTAGGGTAGTGAGTTGGCTACTTAGAATTGCTTCTAAGAGTTTCCCCCTGAGTCTCCGCCTCCATCTTGGTGAACCGAATATTTAGGAGAGTTTTGTGAGTGAGGTTGGAGGCTTTGGAGGCTAAGCCAAAGTTATTATACCAAGCATATTACCATATAGATATTATCATAATCCACCTCTTATTTGGGTCGATTATATTGTTTTAGTAAGTCAAATAAAACTAATATCTCCCCGTCACACAAATATGAGTGGTATCCTCACATTCACAGTCACTTTTCATCATCCCAACATTATCACGATCACAAAGAATGAATTATGGCGCGACCCTATGAAAACATGTCACAGGAACATAAAACTTTAAACTACTTGCACAGCCAATGAAGACGTTCTCGATCTCAAAAGCGTTTCGTCTAACCTAAAATGATTTTCACAAAACACTGACGAGACATTCTTAATCCCCCATGAAATAAATGCCTTTGTCCAACTGTAAACACGGAAAATTCTTGAAACAAAAGAGACAAGAACAACGTGCACAAAATAATATTTGTATTTGATGATTTTGTGTTACAATCTCTCTCAAATTTGATCCTCTGATTCAATCCCCATAAGGCGTTGATTTTGTGGAGGTGTGATTGATCCAAGGGCTGTCGAGACTTGATCTTGGATGAACGGTTGAAAGTTTCTTCAAGGGTCGTTGAGGCTTGATCTTGAATGACGGTGATGAACGGATCTTCAAGGGTTTTTGGGCTTGACCTTGAAGAACAGTGATGAATAGATCTTCAAGGGCTTTTGGGCTTGATCTTGAAGAACAGTGATGAACGGATCTTCAAGGGGCTTTTTGGGCTTGATCTTGAAGGACGGTTGGATGTGTGGATTTGTCGACGTTGTTGATCCAAAGGGCCGTTGGGGCTTGATCTTGGGATGAACGGATGATGAACGATGAACACTTTCTTCAAGGACTGTCGGGGCTTGATCTTGAATTGGTGGAAGTTCTTCAAGGGGTCGTCGGGGCTTGACCTTGATGAACAGCGGATGGGCGGATCTTCAATGGACCGTTGGGGCTTGATCTTGATGAACAGTTGATGAACGGATTCGTTGATGTTGTCGATCCAAAGGGGCCGTTGGGGCTTGATCCTTGAGGATGAACAGTTGATGAACGATGAACACTTTCTTCAAGGGGCCGTTGGGGCTTGGGCTTGAAGGCGGATTTGATGAAGAATGAAGAGAGTTTTCTCGATCCTTCGGAATTTGCTTGAGAGCTTTAGAATTTCAAAGCTTCAAGGTTTTGGTGTCATATCAAATTCTTCCCTCAAATGAATGAAATGGCTTATATTTATAGAATTTTCCAAGGCCTAATTTTGAATATAATATGCAGATGAAATAAATCATTTCTGGCAGGTGTTGACATGTGTCCTATTTGATGACTTTTTCGATTTATTTTGATTTTTCATTTAGTCACACGCTACATGTAAAATTTATGTGACACGTGAGCGTCGAAATTGTAACTATTGGTCAATATTTATTTCACCAAAATTTCGATTTCTACAAATGTCCCCACTTCAAGGCGCGCCGTATACATGTGCTTGTCACGTGTGGGAGATGCGTTTTGAAGTCCCTTAGTGTAAATGTCGATCCAAGGGCCATCAAGGCTTGATCTTAAATTGGGCTGGAGATTTCTTCAAGGGCCGTTGAGGCTTGATCTTGAACTTCGTTTGAAATTTCTTCAAGGGCAGTCGAGGCTTGTTCTTGAAGGTTGGAATTAGACCTTAAGGAGCTTCATGTGGTAAATGATCTTTGGCTTTGGTAATGGATGAATCGGCACGTATTTTGTTGCGCTTTGTTAACTTTCCACAACTTTGATCTTGAACTGGGTTGGAGTATTTTCTGGATTCCTCCAATTGTTAACTTTCCACAGCTTATTCTTGAACTGGGTTTGGAATTCTAAGCGAGGAATATGAGAGTTCTTTGGTTTCAAATCAAACTCCTTCTGTTGGGTTGATTTGAATGTGCATTCCGCATTCTTCTTTGTTTGTTTCTTCTGCACGGTAGGCAGGCACGAGGTAAAGGTGTTGGTCTGTTTCTTTCTTCAATCTTTCCAAAGGCCTACCTCTTGCTTTCTTTCTCCTTGTCCCTAGCTGAGGATGAATTGGCAAATTGTCTCCACATGCTTTGAGGTATCATTTTCACTTCCCTTATCTGTTCCCCAAGCAGATGTGGTGGACGAATAGGAAGCATAAAATGATGAAGATAAGTCCTCGAGAGCAAGGCTAAGTAAGCAATCAGGAAGGGGTTCCAGGCAGTCAGTTCCAGATCGGAAGATTGATACCAAGTGTTGGCTGATTGCTCTCTTTCTCCTTGTCCCAAAACAACGACAATGAGAAGAACAAGGAGAAAGCATGATATGAGATACTCTTGATTTCAACATTCATGATATGAAATACTTTTGCTTTGGATGAGTTGTTTGCAGAGGTACCCCAAGGAATAAGGAACATTGAGTGACTCGAGAGGGTTTGTTGGAAAGGCATTCTCAGAGAAGAAGAAGGGTTATGTACGTCTGCCTTACAATGGAGGGTGAAGGGTGACATGTATAGGAATTAATAACCGGTACTATTCTTTCACTCTTATCAGCAACCGTTGGATGATTTAATAGTAAACTTCATGTGCTTTCTACTTCACAAGAGATATTCGACAGATTATCCGTAATTTTCGCAAGGCTGAGTGTGCATGTGACAGGCGCTAACATGTCTGGAAAAGCAAGTGCCTCTTCGATATCTGGAATCGACGCTTCGACAAAATGCCCGTGATTTCCGTAAAGCTGACTCTGCATGTGACAGATGCTGACACGTCTGGAAAAGCAGATGCCTCTCCGATTTCTGAGCTTGCCTCTTCGATCTCTGAAATCCCGTCAAATGCAGAGGTTGCATATGACAAGTGCGGACAAATCTGGAAAAAAAGATTGGCCGTGGTTTCTGAGCAAGCCTAGCTTTTGAGAAAGCTAGCGCCTCTTCGATTTTTGAGTTGGCCTCTTCGATTTCTGAGCTCGCCTCTTCGATCTCTGAAATCTCGTCGAGTGCTGATTTTTATAGAGGTACGTAGGACGTTCAAGGCACACTTGAATTTCTTCCTGTAGAAACTCCCTTATTGCATTTCTACAATCTTGGCTTGTCCGACCTCTTCTTTCTTTAACATCTCTGAAAATTTCTGGCCCCTCCGACCGTCGTTTTGACTTGAACCTTGGTGAAGAGGCAGCCATGCCTTCTCTACACAACATATGGTGCCCATCCTTCATATCCCCTACTGGTCCTCTTACTGTTAGGGATTCGATGACGAAGAATGATATAATCGCTGCGATGGTGGCCCAGAACCTTGTCACTCCCAAAGATAACAGACTACTTTTCAAACGGTCTGATGAGTTGGCTGTTAAGGATTCTCTGGCTCTCAGTGTGCAGTGTGCAGGTTCTATGTCTAATATGGCCCAACGCCTATTTGCTCAAACCCGTCAAGTTGAATCATTGGCGGCTGAAGTGATGAGTCTCAAACAAGAGATTAGAGGGCTTAAGCATGAGAATAAACAGTTGCATAGGCTCGCACATAACTATGTTACAAACATGAAGAGG